AACTGGTTGCAGTGCATTTGTGTATGTTAAAGGTTTGGGCCAGAAAGGGTTGTAAGAAAAATATATATGATGTGCACCATTTCAAAGGATACAGGAGGAAAAGAGCTTTCCTGGCATTAATTCTGAGAACAGCTAGAAACTGGTCTGCATTTTCTCCTGCATTGTCATGCCAGACTATGCTACCCCAGTCTGTTTTCATCTTTCTTTTCAGCACAAGAGAAAGCATTGCCTGGCTTCACAAAATGAAACAGAGAATGAAACAGAAGTGCAGGGCTAGCGGGCTTTGCCTAGCCACACAGAAGAGCCAGCTAAACACATTCCAGTTCTGGCTGGCTCAGCCAATTCTAGGCCGAAATCCACCCCCCAGCCCTACTTTCCTTTGATATGTGTGAGTTATAGGATTTGGAGCAGGAGAATGTGCTTAGTACCCTGATCGTGACTCTGTTCTTTGCATTGTTTGCAAGTAGCGGCTGGCTGGCTGTTGACTGGGAGGCCTTCTGTGGAAACCCACAGATCCCACTGAGTTTCTCCTCACCTAGAAGACATAGAAAGGTGTACAATAAAGGCCCGTGCCCTACCCAGTCTGGTGCAGTGGTTAAGTGCGCGGACTCTAATCTGGGAGAACTGGGCTTGATTCCCCACTCCTCCACATGCAGCTGCTGGATGACCTTGGGCAAGCCATAGTTCTGGCACAGCTGTTCTTGAAAAAGAGCAGTTTCTATCAGAGCTCTCTCAGCCCCACCTACCTCACGGGGTGTCTGTTGTGGGGAGGGGAAGGGAAAGGAGTTTGTAAGCCGCTCTGAGACTCCTTCGGGTATTGAAGGGCGGGGTATAAATCCAATCTCTTCTTCTTCTACCCATGCATCAGATGGGGCCTACACATATCTGTCAAGGTCAGACCTGAGCTGTGGGCAAGTATACAGAAATCCAAACCTCAGGTGGGTTTTCCCAACCTATGGTATTCCTAGCTGTTGTGGGAACAGGCAATGGAGCTGGAAATGTAGGTGTGGGGAGGACAGTTCTGCTGACCAGAGAAGATCAGACAGACAGGCTGGCTAGTAGCAGTGTGCTCCCCACAGCTTCTCTCTGTGTTTAAAGACAACCCTCAGGTACCTCAGTATCCACAGTCCTCCATCTCTAGCCATCCATCACTCACACACTGGTCTCCTACTACCCTTCCCCGAAGGAGCTAAGGACAACTTTGGGGGCTAAATTCGTGTCCAGTGGCACCTTAGAGACCAACAAGATTTGGGGGGTATACGTTTCAGTCAAAGCTCCCTTCCGTCAAATGCCATATTGGACTCTTGAAAGGTTGTTGGTCTTTCAGAGCCTTCTGGACTCGAGTCTTGCTCTTCTACTTCAGAGCAACTTGGCTACCCACCTGCAACTATCAGGAGCTGTGGCTGAGAGACAGAACATCTGCTTGGCATGCAGATGGACTGGGGTTCAATCCCCAGCATCTCCGGTTAAACAGATCATGTAGGTAACATGAAAGACTCTAGTTGAGATGCTGGAGAGCTGCTTCCAGATAGAGGAGACAATGCAGACTAATTTTGTTGGTCTTAAAGGTGCCACTGGACTCCAACTTTGTTCTGCTGCTTCTGACCAACACGGCTACCCGCCTGAACTACTCTAACTCGGTATAAGACAGCTTCAGATGTTCATCCCATTTTATCCTAGACAGGTTGTTAGTGTCAGAATTTGATGATGATGATTAACCATAGCATCAGTGTACATGGCACAAGGACAGATTCCTGCCCCAAAGAAATTACAGTTTTAAAAAACTGACATATGGGACAGCAAAATGAGGGGTGGCTGTAAAGGATGAGTATGTGGTCCTTGCAGGTCTTCCAGGCAAACTGAGTTACACTCTTCTAAGGCCACTGACCCCAATGGGCCTTGAAGGCTGTAATTCCGCCTAGGATAGCACAAGTTAGTTTAACTCCCAACCAATGTTCCCTCTAAGCTGAGTTAGTGTGAGCTAGCTCACAGTTTTTTAGCCTCCGGCTCACACATGTTTGTCTTCACTCAGAAAGGATGGCTCCAAAGTAAACAAATTAATGCGGCTGCCCAAATAGCTCGCTCACAACTTTAATGCCAGCAGCTCACAAAGTAGAATTTTTGCTCACAAGACTCCACAGCTTGGAGGGAACATTGCTCCCAACCCATTTTAAGATAGATGATACTCATTCCCTACCATCTCCCTACAAAGGAGCACCTAAATCATTGGGTCTCTTCATTGGTTGGAAGCCGATAGAAACGATAGCTTACATACAGCCCAGTTCCAGAAGATGCCAAACTGGCTTTGAATGATATACAAAAATAGTTCCATCTAGCTCTGTGGACTTCTGCTCCAGCACCGTGCTAATTATACACTCTGTCTAGCTGTGCGTTAGCACAGAGACCAGGAACCCTGACTCATCATTTTCACCATCCCCGCGACCCGAGGCAAACAGACCTCTCGCGCACACTCTCCAAACATTCTCAACTTCCCCTACAGCAAATATCTAATCTTGTCCTCCCTTGCAGCAGGGCAGACTTGTTTCCACATGTGCAAGCAACCTGTCCCATAGCTGAGGTTATTAATTAATTTTCTCTCTTTTTTTGCCAAAGGCTGTCCCTGGAGAAGAAGCTGGATGACATCCATGGCAATTTTAAAAAATGCATTACACAAACCTGTACATTTTTTTTCTTCTCACTTTGCAAGTAACTTGTCCTTTGCCCACGGAGACAGAGTTGATGGTCATGCATCAAGAAACAGTCTCATTGCAACCCTAAGCAGGCCTACTCAGGTTCCTACTGATACTTTATTTATTTACTGTACTTATCATTCACCTTTCTCATTGAGATTCAGAGCAGATTGCAGAGTGTACATCAATACAAATCAGTACGGGGAGCCATCTAATGAGTAATGTCCTACTACGACTAGGATTACATAAATCGGAATAAGTATAGCATATTAGACAACTTACGGAGTGTGGATACAATGCAGAAAAATGAACACGCATGCAGCTGCCTTGTACTGAATCAGACTATCAGTCCAACTAAGTCAGTATTGTCTATTCAAACTGGCAGCAGCTCTCCCGGGTCTCAGATGCACGTCCTTCACGTCAACTGCAGCCCGGCCCTTTTAACTGGAGATGCCTGGGATTGAATTTGGGACCTCTCACATGCCAAGCAGATGCTCTCCCACTTAGCCACAGCCCCTCCCCATCTAAGCCATGGCCCCTCTGGTATTTCAGCAGTAGGAAACAATGCACGGACAACAGGATAATACTACTTAATGGGCCCCGGAAAGCGTGAGTGCACCATAAGGAAGATAACATTGTCTATTCCTATAAGGCCGGATATCTACAGTGTTTCTCCCTGACACGTTAGATTTCCAGTGATGGGGTATTTTCATGAGCATTCAAGCGTGCCAGAACCACCCCCCTCCCTTGCATTCTAAAGTGGAACAGTCCTAGGCACACTGCAGAGCATTGGAGGTTCTACTGGTGACTTGGCTGCTTCACCACCAGAAGATGGTGGTGAAGGCACCAACAATGACAGCAAGGGACTTTTACGTCTTTGCAAAGCGCCATGTCTATGCAACCATGGTGCCAAAGCTGGATGCAATTTTTCGTGGTTTTTTCGTATTTTTATATGTGTGTGTGTGTGTGTGCACCTGGAAGTCATGGCAACCTCTGGCCCCGGCTGGGGGCCTGGAGGATATTCAGAGAGGTGGCTGAATAAAGCCTGCCCCCACCTCCCGCCTCTGGTATTTCAGGGAGGTCTCCCATCCAAGTACTTGCTGGAGTTGACCCTGCTTAGCTTCTGAGATCTGACAATATCGGGTTTGCCTGGGCTATCCAGGTGAAGGCCTGGATGCAATTTTAGTCGTTGTTGTTGAGAGATATGCCGGTGGTCATGGATCAGCATAAAAAAATTGACCAGCATGACCACGAAATATTGATCAACAGTCCACCTATGACACACACATCCCACCCCATGACTGTGTACTACTATGTGCTCTGTCTGTTTGTCAGGGCTGCTGGAGTCAAATGTAGATCCTCACACACAGCACCCACAGGTCCGCATCATTTCCGTTGTGGATGGTATGGAGGGAGACAAAAAGTTCAGTCTCATGAGTAGATAGGTGACGTCATTACTCAGTTCTGTTGTGCGACCTTGTTCCTGTTGCACAAAGGACTTTTCTGACGACACCAGCATGTACTTTGAGCTGTTCTGATGCTACCCATATGCATGTGTGAATGCAAACTTGAGTGCAAGACAGAGGACAGCGATCCCCAAACCAAATGTGCATTCCAGTCAGCCTAGGCTTTATGGTTATATGGGGGAGAAGCAAATAGCCCTTGTAGCGTTTTATTTGAAAACGCCTTTTGTTGTGGTGGTTTTTGCTTGTACTAAATCCTTTCGAAGGTGCCGTTCCTTTAGTGGTGGACTGAAAATGCGTTTCATGTTTTACTGTTGATTTTCTAGGGGGGGAGTGGAAATGCAAAATAATAAATTTCCTTGATTTTGGCAGGATATGTACCTGATGTTTTTGCATGTGTTGTTTCTCCCTGTTTCTTTCTCTGCCTGTCCTCCTCCGTACAACCCTCTATCTTCCAAAGCAGCAGCAGTCACCAACGAGGGATGAGAAGTGGGCGTAACTGCCTCGTGGGTGCGATGCCTTCTGCCCACTCGGCTCCCCATTGGTCGCGGGAAGCCCAACCTCCTTCCCTGCGGCCCCGCCCCTCCGGGCTCACAGCTGATGGAAAAAAATACCTCTTGTTTTTTTCCCCTCCTGCGCTCCGCCCCTTTCTCTCCTTCGGCCCCGCCTCTGACTCGGAGACTGCCCGGAGATGGGGACGGGGGAACGCTTCGCCGATTGGCCGCCCGCCTTCCTCTCCCGCGATTGGTCGCCGGGCCGCCAGTTGGGCGTGGCCGGAGCGCGGCGATTGGCGGCGGCCGAGGGGTGTGCGCGAGGGGGATGGAAAAGCGGCCGCTCGCGCTCGCCTTCCTGCCTGCCCTCCCCCCCGGCGGCTCCGACACCACCATGAACCGGGGCAGCAGCGCCGCGTCCTGCCCTCCGTCGCTCCCGGCCGACGGCCACGACAGCCACAGCGAGTGTCGCCGGGTGTGTAGCAACTGTCGGAAAGTCCTGAGGCAGGTGGGTTAAAGGGACCCCCCCCACACTCAGGGGCAGCAGAGGACCGTTGGGGGGGGGCTTCGTTCGGAGCGCTGCCTGAAGGAGCTCGCGGATGCTGCCGTTGGGCTCCCTCGCGCCGGCCACGCCCCCCCTTCGGGCAGCCCTGGCCCGGGGGGACCACGGCGAAGGAGGCTTAGTCTGAAGACTGCACATGGAGACTGTTGTCCTCTCTAGCTCTGTTCCCAAGTTACGGGGAGTGCATCATGACCCGTTGTGCAGTGCTTTTTTCCTCCTTTGCGCGTGCATGGGGTCATTCTCACGTTGCGTTCAGTGCGTGTACACAGCTGGACCGTTTAGATTCGGGTCCAGTAGCGCCTTCGAGGTTTTCGGGGTAGAGGTTTTTGGGGAGTCGAAGCTCTCTTTTGTTAGGAACAGGCTGGACGTGTGATTCGAACCCCACGTTTGTCTGGGTACTGGTTCTTCTCTCCCCCCCCCCTCCCCGGTTTTTATTTTTTAAGATGAATGCACTCTGCCAACTCTTACCTAGGGAGGTATGCACAGGCAGCCAGGATGTGTGTGCGTTTTGCTGCACTGAGTGAATAGGGCTGGTGTGTGTGATCTTGCTTTTATAGCCTGTGCTTCCTTCCTCCTGGAACTTGACACGTACAGTTCTCTTCACAAGACCCCTTTGCAACAACCTTGTGAGGCAGGTTGAACTGAGGGTAATGAGGAACTGGCTCAAGGTCATCCGGTGGTCCTTTTGGCGACTGAGGGTTGAAAGGCAGGTGTTCCTGGTCCAAGTCCCAATAGCTGCACCGTGTGGACATACTGTGGATCTCTTTCTAAAAGATGAGTGTATGTGTATCTTTATATGAGTGTATAATGTGCTCTCGTGCTCAGCAAAGTATTTGTGTTTATATATAGGCACGCAGATGCAGGATAGAACGTATGATGTATTCGGACCTGTTTATGTGCACATTAGAAAACAATGTGTGTGTGTGCACACATATGGAATAGGTATGATGTATTTATACATGTGAGTATATATATACTTACGATTATGGGTTCACACATAGAAAATATAATGCATGTAATGGATGTTAAATACGGATGTGTGCATGCGTGCCAGAATCCAGAAGGATATCTGGGTTGTTCTGTTGCAGCAAAGTCCAAGAGGAAGTCTTGCAGCGCTATAAAAGTGAACAGAATTATTGTGGTGAGAGCTTGGAGGGACTGGAGCCTGCTTCCATCAGCTTATGCCATAATAAATCTGTTAGTCTTTAAACAGCCACAGTGCAGCTGCCTGTGTGTGGTAGCTATGATTATGCACATATGACATTGCAGTAAGCTGTGCAGTTTTGTGCATGTTTACGCAACAGAAAATACCATTTTTTGCTTATTGGTGTTTATGCTGTTGATTGTGTGCACAGGGTTACAAGTCTTGGTGAAGGTTGATGTTGGATGGCAATTCTGCTCTTTTTCTCAGCAGGCCAGAAATAAATTTCAGAAGATTCTGATACATACCAGAAAATCTTAAAGCCCACTAAGCACCTTTAGTCAGTTTCCAAGAGTTGCACATGGTTCCATCCTCTAAAGATTGTTGACCAAGCCATAAGTGCAAATATGACCCCTCATGCATAAGGTTTATGGCCCAAAGTGCTAGTCCTCTTATTAAGAATCACCAATTAATGTCAAAACTCATGGAGGTGCTGGCACTTGTTGCAACATATATAAATACATTTTTGCTGCACAGTTATATATGTGTGTGAGAGATCTAGCCAAAATTAAGCACTTTTAAGATGTGAAATCAATGGCACTTAGTTTGGGCTGGATTATGTTCAATATATATGGTTGTATCTGTAAAACTTTAAAAAAAATTCTGCATCTCTGTCTTCTGTGTCATTACATCACATGCTTATTTTTTGCATTTTTATATCTGTCATGTCCTTGGAAGCAAGAGATCCTCAAAGGAGTCAGAACAAATATCAAGGGACAGATAAAATTGTCATCTTGTTTAGTGTGTTCATCCTGGTCCAAGGCTAGCCTGTTTAAAAACAAAACCCTCACTGAGAGAGAACTCAAGCCTTCTGCTAATGCCTTATCCCTTGCTAACCAAAACCAAGGTGTGTATATGTGTCTCTCTCTGTGTGTAAATATAAATAAATAAATTTTAAAAATACATCCATAGTTTCTGGAAGTTGCTAGGATCCCGCTTGGCTATGAAAGTATAAGCATGTGTACACTTAAATAAAAATCAGTTTATGTTGATGAATGATTTATAAACTCATCTTTTTTCTGTTATGGGAGTAAGGTAGTGGCAAACAATGCATCTGAAGAAGTCAGCTCTGACTTCTGCTGGAATTAATGTTGCTAATCTTTAAGGTGCTCCTGGACCCTGTTTAATTTTGCTCCAACAGGCTAAGATTCTTACCCTTCTTGCATATAGTGAAATTCCTAGAGGGTGGCTCATCCGAGTACTGACCAGACCCATAGTGGCTCAGCTTCAGCAAGGTTGCTTTAGCATACGCCTTCCTACCATATTGTGGTATTTAGATGTGTGGTGTAGTGGTTGGAATGTCAGGCTATGATCCAGGGGACCCAGCTTCAGGTCCCCAGTCTGCTATGGAAGCTTGCTGAGGGACCTTGGACCAGTCACACTCTCAGCCTAATCTACCTTACAGAGCTGTTGTGAGGATAAAATCGAAGAGAGGGCAATAAGCTAATTTGGGACAAGGTAGAATATAAATATATTAATAAAACAACAAATGAAAAGAAAATCTTTTATAGGCCTACCTTAAGGTAGAGAGTCAGTATCATAATATGTGGGTTACACTGACTAGAAGTGCTCTCTTATCTGTGATCACAGCTCTGTAATTCTGACCCTGTTAAATTGACAGTAACATGTCCTTTTCTTCCTCTAGCATCAGATCTTGTGAACCTTTTGTGCTGTGTGACAGAATAAGCCCTGCCCTACCCCCCCCCCTGCAAAATCAATTCTATCCTTTAAGGCACATAGATCACTCTGCATTAATTGACTGGGTGCTCCAGTCTGTGAGATGTCTATTCTTGTTTTGACTTCTGATAGCCTCCTATAAGTAAGTATTACTTGCTTTCAGTTTCTCAACTAAGTGAGAGTACTGGAGACTTGTCTCTTTGTGCTTTCTGAAGCAAAACACAGTGTTGTAAAACACCTTCAAATGAAGTGCTCTATAAATGAATAGTAGTTCTAGATCTAGACCTGCAGTCCCATTCTTCACATCAGCGGAATATGAGACCATTGTGATGGAGAGGCTCCTGTGTCAGATCTGGCTGTAGGAAACCAGATTTAGATCCCCAGTTCAGCCGTGAACTTTGCTGGTGGACCTTGGGCCGTTTTCCCATAGCTTAATCTGTTTCATAGGATGATGTGCAGTTAAAACAGTATTCTTAACTCTGTGGAGAGATAACAGGTTGCAAATGTTAATGGTGGTTTAAAGAGGGGAGGGAATGTTCTGTTCTTTCATGTTCATTTTTGGTTAGAGCTGTATCTCCAAAACTATGGTTGATACATGTCTCAGGACATTTAGTAACTTTTGAATTCTCTTTACCTTTCATATATATAAATTACTAGGAGGAAGGCCTGTTGTGGCCCGAAATGCAACGGGATTCTAGTAGAGGGCCTGAGTCAGCGTGGCGTTGTGGAGGAGGTGTGTTCCCGCCCTCCTGGAGCCCCGGCCAAGTGCAATGCGGGCCACAGCCCCTGACCCACCTGGAGGCACGGAGGAGCCTGGGGACGGGCGAACAAGCCCTTTCCGCCGGCGGAGCAGGCGCTGCCTCCGCCGGCTCTCAGCTTACTGAGGCAGAAAGTCTGGGTGGCGGTTCTGTCGGAGGGTGGGCGGGACGTTGAGAACACATGGACACACAGTCACCAATGGATGGCAAGACCATGGCAATGCAGCCACCAATGGATGGTGAGACCTTGTGATCAACAGGTCTCCTGGCCAAAGCCTCTGGGAGTGTGTTCCAGGATTCACACGATATTAGCTTTATATATAAGAAGATTGTCAGTCAACTGTTTGTCCGTCATGTGTATACATTTATTTATTTACTTCATTCATACCTTCCTTTTTCTCAGTGGGGACTCAGCAGCTTAGTTCATTCTCTTCTACATTTTATCCTCACACCAACCCTGTGAGGTAGGCTAGGCTGAGAATATGTGACTGGCCCAGGGTCACCCAGCAAGCTTCCATGGCCGAGCAGGGGTTCAAACCTTGGTCTTCTAGTTCCTACTCCAACACTCAAACCACTGTGTAACTCTGCTTAGCTCTTTGCAGTTCTTATCTCATGTCTTTTGTCTTCTTGTTATTCAGCATTCCCCATTTACAGATTAGAAGCTGAAGTTGGCAAGTAGACTCTTTCAGTCATCCACTGTATTAATGGGTGACCAAATCTGAAGGCTTTTTGTCTGTTCACCTGTTTTAAGTGAGATATTCTGCTTCTGTTGCTAATGAATTGAAGATTCCCCAAATATAGTCCTCTAAATTTGTATCCCCTCTGTCTGAATGTGATCAGATGGTTGTAAGCCAGAGATCCTATTCTTGATGTGGGCTGCACCATGTAGAAGCTTGTATCTGCAGAAGAAGCCTGAATTACATGATCATCTCCCCCACTTCAGAAAGGTGAAAGTTCATGTGATTTCTCCCTGAATACAAGCATTCACATGGAGGGCCTGCTTTTCTCATGGGGTCAGCATGGTGACATAGTGTGTGTCTCCAGTCCCTACCCATGTCTCCACAAGAACTTTGCTCAAGTAAGCATCTTAATCAGATCAGAGCTTTGTTGGTGTTTGCTGCACTATGACATTGTGCAGAGTTTGTATCTACATCAACTCTTACTCAGTTTGCTCTCTGAGAAATGGCCTCATGCTTTTGTGTAAGTTCTCCTGCATGGATGCATCTGAGTGCATCTATACATTTCTGAAAGAAACTTGGCCTTCTCCATAACGATTTGGGAAGAAGGGGTTGCTGTAAGGATGAAGGTGA